AAGCCGGGGAGCATGCAGGCAGCGGACAGCCCAGACGCGCCGCGGCTGTCCCGCTGCCGGCGTCCTCAGAGACTTTGCTCCCCGTCTCCCTGGTCTGCTGGTCTCCAGCAGACCAGGGAGACACGGAGCAAACCCCGTTCGTAACTGCGGATCCGACATAAGTTGGATCCGCATAACTCGGGGACTGCCTGTATATAATCTGTATTATCTATATTAATACTCCCAGTGATTAAGATACAGGTCGAACCTCTGAAATCTGGGACTCTCTGATCTGGCAGCATCCATGGTCTGGCAGGACCACAGATGTTGCTGGACCAGAAAGCCTCAGTAGGAGTGCATACCAGCTGGAGCCCGGTCCCGCGGAGCCCCATCCAACGGGACTGGCGAGCCCCGTCTCCAGGGGATCCCTGATTGAGCAGGCTAGCAGAGGAACCAGCAAGCCTTGTCCCGGGGAGCCCTGGCTGGACAGACCGGTAGTGGAGCAACCAGCACCAAAAGCAGGGCAGCTGGCAAGCCCCATTCCCAGGGATTCTAGGGTGGGGTGGGTGAGAAGCAAGGCCACGGCAGCTGGGGATCTCTATATATGGGAAGCCCCAGCAGGCTGGAGCCCAAGTCTAAGCCCTGCAGGCTGGAGCTCAGTGGCAGTGGGTCTGGAATGGAGCCAGTCGCAAGGAGCGGGAGTGTCCTGGGAGGCTGGTGGCAGGGGACCTCCCTTTGTCCAGCAAATTCCCTCATTCAGGACAGGTCAGGTCCTAAAGGTGCCTAACAAGGAAGGTCCAACCTGTACTAAGTACAATTTTGCGAAGTATGCAAGTTGATGATAAACATTTTTGTAAAAGGGCTAAAATACCTGTTTGGCCTAAACTTTGTTGTACAAAGAGTAATATTAATATCTACATTAACTGCATTTGCCCACTGACATATAGTTTAATTGCATTTTTTTCTGTGATATTTTAAATCACTTCAGTGGGAAAGCAAATTGAAATTCAGTAGTTCAACAGTGTTTTAAAAACACCTTTTCATTTTCCTAGTCACTGGCTTTGGAAATGTTCACTGTGCCTAATTATGTTAAATTTGTGTATTTAAATCATCTCCCTTTCCTTCTCTCCTCCCACCATGTTCAGTTACAAAAATATGATTTTTTAATTTTTTTAATAAGCTTTTTATAATAATATGCTGCTCCCTCTGGTACTGCTTCTTCACTTATGGTTCCTGCTGGGTTTTCAGGTATAAAATGTTACCATCCCTATAAACTTGCTGTTACACTCAGGTTGTTCATCCTACAACCCTGAACATTTATTTTTCCTAACATAAAGGTGTATCCATGGTGATACATTGTGCTTTCCAGACACAGAGGGATTTTGTAGAAACGTAAATTGTCAAGTTTGCATTCTGTAATCTCCTTAGTACTACATTGCTGTTTGACAGAAATGGAGTAGAAAATCAAAATATCAAAGGCTTAATGGGCGATATTTTTAAGTTTGCTTCACCCTTTATGGTCTTTTTAATACTCCTCTGCACCTGTTCATGTAATGTAAGTTCTCAATGAAAGCAAAGCCTGGCAACTGAAGACTTAGCCATTGCTTAACTTTGTAAACACTACAGACACTGCTGTCTATTCGTTGGCAATAAAAGACAAAATCTCCTCAGTGTATTACAAACCTTCTGTTTTCTCCTCAGGCTAACCAACCTTTGCCTGGTTGCAATAATAAAAAATGTGTTACTTGATAGCATGGGGAGAAATTCAGTTGCCAGCAAAGCATACCAGATTCTAAAATTTTATCTGCTGAACTGCAATGCAGGCAACTGGTGAATGCATTTGACAGGTGTTGTGCTAGTACTCCTGTGACTGCTGTTTTTTTGTGTAAACTCTTTCCTGCTTGCAGCTTGCTGGTGGTTAGCTAGTGTAGATGAGACAAAGATTTTTTTTAACAGATTTTAAAATTGTATTATAGCTAATGTTAAAGAATACATAATATACAGATTGAGAAAAGAACATCTGTACATTTAAGTACGCTGCTTCAATTATCCACAACATTTGTTTTAGTATCTATACAGCAATAATACACGTTTAGATGAATTAAATTTAACATACAGTTTAAATATTAGCATTCAATTATTCAGGTCTAATACTGTGTCACCTAGACCTATCCTGAGTAGTCGAGGTTTGTAAGAATTTTTTGTAATTATCATGACATGCTTCCAGACATGGAGTAATTTGTAGTTCTGTTACATTCTCAGGTGTTCATCACAATTACATTAATATTTTGTTGTTGGAAATGCAGTTGAGGGGAGTAACTGAGGATTTGCTGTATTATCTGAAAATACAGTGCTTGGGAAAAAATTATGTGAGTTGATACCATATTGTAAGATCTTAATTAAGATCTGTAGCCTCAATATCATGGGTGTAATATGTCCATAATACACATTTTCCACTTTTTAAAATCAGGGTAGGTATAAGTACCCAAAGAGTGTGACTACATTTAACAGAAGCTTTGGCCACCGGATTAATTTACTCATCTTTGAACTTAAATGGTAAAAATTACACATTTGAGTTAGATTGCAAGCTCTTTGGGGCAGGTGAAGTGTCTTTCAGAGTGAAGCATACAGCGTGTCTGTGGATGTCTCAAATGATATTGGAATACAGATTATGTGGAATGTGGTTACTTTGAAATGTGGCTTGGAACTCTCTGGTCCTGCAACATTTGTGGTCCAATAGGGGGCTGCTGGCGGTTCATAGTAGAGCCAGCCATTGGGGCCAGTGGGACAGTGGAGCCCATGGGGCATCAAAGCCTGCAGCTGGCAGAGGCAGGGACGCTGATGGAGGGGCTGGAGTTTGCAGGGCAGTGGAGCCTGAAACCAGCAGGGCTGCTGCAAGTCTGGTGGGGCTGCCTGGCGCTCCCCCATCCCAGACTTCCCTTGGTCTAGAAAACTCCCTTGTCCAGGACCGGTCAAGTCCCAAGGGTGCCAGACCAGGGAGGTCCAACCTGTAATATCCATGTTATATAATACACAGGCTAACCCAATAGAGTGATATTGTTGTGTGAGTTCCCTCATCGGTCTCACTAGAAACAAAGTATTGTGAGGAGAAATCAGCGTAAACTATATCTTTGAACCTTTCTGGATTAGATTGTTATTCATATAAGGAAAATTGAAATTTGTTTTTTGAGGTAAAGTCATGTATACACCCTATAGAAAATAAATCTACAACTTAAACTTCTATAGACTGTGACTCCCTGATCTGGCAACATCTGTGGTCCAGCAGGTCCATGGATATTCCAGAACCAGAGTCTCCCAGTGGAGGGCAGGCACCTGGGCTGCCTGGCTCCCTGCAGCTGCCTGGCTCCCTTGGCTCCCTCCTTGGAGCTGCTGTGGCAGGGCCGGGAGTTTAGTGAGCTGGCCTGGAACTTGGCTGTCAAGGGCAGCAGGGAAGGGGATGAGGGGACTGACAGGGCAGCAAGGCCAGCGGCATGGGAGGAGCCAGCCAGGAGGCTAGCGGCCAGTCCAGGGCTGGGGGGCTGGTACTAGGGGGGCCAGATATGACCTCCCCTGGTCTGGAAAAATCCCTTGCTTGAGACCAGTGAAGTCCTGAGGGTGCCAGACCCAGGAGGTTTAATCTGTAAATATATGAGATGAAGTTTCACTTTGTTACTAACCACACTAGACTTGGATAAGGGTCTGGAAGTAATCCTACTCAGTGATTTATTTTGTAAGTATCACTTTCTGTTGCTAGCCTCTGCAATAGGACACGCTATCCCAAAATTGTGAATCCATATAGTTCATGCTGGGATAATAAAATGTGGGAACTCCTATTAAAATGGAGAAACTAATATACTGGATAAGAGTTCCATAAAAGACATTTGAGATTTTGGGACAATTTTATGATGCTGGATTCTGATGTGAGGAGCTATTGTACACTCAGGGCCAAGGATGTTGTTGGACCAAAGATCCCTGGAGGTGGGAGTTGGGGGCCAGTTGGAGAATGCAGGTTTGGGGAGCTATCACTGGGGCCAGGCAGAGGTGAGGAGCCCTGCCTCTGGCATCAGTGGGATCAGGCAGCAAACTGAGAGCCCCCATCCTGGCCTGGGAAACCCTGGTGTCAGCCAGGCCAGGCAGTGAACAAGGAGCCCTTTCCCCGGCTGAGGAACTCCCTACAGCAGTGGGGCCAGGCAGCAACGGCTAAGCGCCCCCAGACTGGGGAACTCCTGGTGGGAGCAGGACTGGGTCTGGTAGTGGGGCTGGTGGCAGATGGGCGGCCCCAACCAGGGAACCCCAGAAACTCCTAGAAGCAGCTGGCATGGCGGTCCTGGCCAGGGAACTCCCTGGCTTTATCTGAACCAGGCAGCAGCAGGGGAGCCTTGTCCAGGGATCCCTGGAGAATCAGGGATTCTCCTGATTCTGAATGGTTTCTGAATGGGGCTGGTGGTGGCCGGGTGGCTCTGCAACGGAATCCTGGCAGCATCGAGCAGCAGCAGGATCGGAGCCCCAGCCTGGAGAGCCCAGGAGTGGTGCAGCCCAGCAGGGGAGTATTGACCTGCCCTGGTCTGGCAAGCTCTCTGGTTCAGGACTGCTCAGGTCCTGAGGATGCCAGACTAGGGAGGTCCAACCTGTTAGTCCTTCTTTATCTTATTCAACCTGTATTACTATATAACTGAGTTAGAAAAGTGTCACAGATGTGTTACCTCACTTCTTACAGTGCACAGTGTTTCAGTGACCTCAGCAAAAGCATTACCCCCACTGAGAGCAGTGATTGCTCCATTCTTCTTTCAGTAAAGTGCTGTGTGAGTTGTTATAAGTATGCAGTGCTTCCCTTGTTTTCTGTATACCAAACATTCCACTAATCACAAATTTCCAAACAGGTTTATTTCCTCTGGAAATTTTATTTTATTAAGTTTAATTTCCATTTTGTATTTGACACAAGATTTTCATAAAATTTGGTGTGTATGATTTTACCACACGTCTGCTGTGCTCTGACAGTCTGGGGTTACTTTTGTTTTCAGTGTACAAAGGATTTATGTTTGCTGCTGCTTAACCAGTCCCTCCTGCTGTTATCCCTGAAACTGCTAGTGGAAAGCAAAGACCAAGATCTTCATGTATTGGCACTGGAACAGATAACAGCTGTTGATAAGGTATGAACAGTTGAATTAGCTGTCCTTCATACTTTCCAGTAATGAAGTAGTTCTTTTATCTTCATGTAGGAAGTATAGTCTCTTGAGTGCATTATGATTATTAATATTTTCCACAGTTATTTTGTCTGCAGCCATAGGGCTGATAAAAATCCATTTTACAGTCAAGGTGATTTTAAAAAGAACCCACAAATGCTATTTGTTTTAATTATCTGGCTACTCAGTTGTAAATTAATGTGGTGGAACAGAAGCTACCATAGTATATTTTTATACATCTTTGTGTTATAGTTCTTTTAAAATAACGTAAACCACAATACTTACAAAATTTGGCAATTCCGCCTGCTGTAGACTCTTCTATAAACATGGTGAGATTTGTTTTTTGCAAATCTCAGATTTATATTTAAGATTAACTACCCTGAAAATTCAGCCTTACTGATTCTGATGAGCCCTTTTCACACACAACAGAGGGATTTAATCTCACTAAGTGCAAATGTCATCGTATGTGTATAT